TTATATATTTCTTTTAATCTTTTGTATGTGAACAAGGCTTTGATCAATATAGATGAAGTTATTTGCTATATTTTGTTGTATTTATGGTTTGGATTACTTTAGACATAAACTTTTCAAGTCTTGACCTAATTTCTTCATCTATCAACTAACAAACTCTAGACATAGATTTGGAAGTTGATATTCACATTGTATTGATATTAACGATTATTGTTTTGGGTGTTATTTAGAGAGATCATTTAACGGTCGAAACAATAATATTCACGAAATCGCTTTAGAGATAAACGATTTTGCGAGGAGACGCGATTATATTGGTTGAAACTAAGTTCACATATTCGATTGATTGGATACGTTTAAGACAAATTAGTGAACCCTAATCTTGGCATTCCTTTTATCAAACAAAAACTAACTTTTTCTGTGTTTTACTTCTTGCAAAATTATGTTACCAAATAGAAACCATTTGAAAACCCCTTTTCTTAAGTCACTATAATACTGAACGACAAACATCAAATATTCTCGTACAATCCTTGTGGATACGATAAAACACTCCCAACTTATACAACTCTAACACTATGCACAAATAAAACCTTGGATTATACCTTGGGTTTGAGTGATTAATATATTGAGAGTTGGAGAGGTAGGGAAACACTTGGGTAGAAAATAGGGTTGTGCTTGGGCGCCTTCAAGGTTGTTCTTGGGAACCTGAAGGCGAATGCTATTTTCTTGCAACTCATATGTAATCTCTTGTAACAACTTTCTCAGTATAATGAATTGGGGAGTTGTTCTCTCCCCTAGAGTAGATCGTTTGATCGAACTGGGTAAATAAACCTTCAGTTATTTCTTGCCTTATTCTGTTATATTATCTGTGTACGGATTATTATTGCTGAAGACCATCTATTTTGGTTTCTATTGTTCTTTGCCTCACAAATTGATATTGAATTTTGTTGTAATTCACAACAAGATTCACAATAAGTGGTGCAGTGAGCGTGGAGCAAAGAGATATTATTGACAAGTGAGCACCATGGTTAGTAGATGGCAGATCGAGAAATTTTCAGGTAACAACGACTTCGGGTTATGCAAAATTAAGGTGCAAGCAATTTTAATTCAAGAGAAGTGTATCTATGCTTTGAAGATTGAAGCATTGATGCCTGCAGGGCTTACGCAGGTACAAAAGACCGAGATGATGGATAAGACAAGGAGTGCAATTATCTTGTGCCTCAGGGATAAAGTTCTAAGAGAAGTCGCCAGAGAGCAAACTGTGGTTGCTATGTGGGAAAAACTTGAATCATTGTAACAAAGTCTTTGGCTCACAGGTTGTATCTGAAACAACAACTCTATTCATTCTGAATGGTGAAGAACAAATCCATAGTTGAGCAGCTCATAGAATTTCACAAGATTATCGATGATCTTGAGAATATTGAAGTGAGGATTGATGATGAGGACAGGGCTTTGCTCCTGTTGAGTTAATTATCCAGATCCTTTGAGCATTTTAAAGATGCCCTTATTTATGGTAAGAAAGGTACTATTACTTTGGATGAAGTCCAGACGGCGATGAAATCCAAAAAATTTTCAAAGTCGAAAGATTTGAAGATTGAATATAGTCGTGAAGGCTTAAATGTGTCAAGAGGAGAAGGTGAGCGTAAAAGGATGTCCAAATCAAAGAGGTCTGACAAGTCAAAGGTAAAATGTTTTAATTTTCAGAAAATTGGTCACTTTAAAAGGGATTGTTCTGAAAGAAAAGTCAATGAAGATTTTGTTCAAGTTGCAGTTGCATTGGGTGAGGAAAGTTATGAGGATGCCGAAGCACTAGTAGTATCGAGTTTGGAAACTGAAGATAGTTGGATCATTGACTCAGGTTGCTCTTATCACATGTGTCTAAGAATAGAATACTTTGAAACTTTGAAGATTGTGCAAGGTGGAGTAGTTTGCCTTGGTAGTAATAAGGCATGCAAGGTTCATGGTATTGGTACGGTCAGATTTAAAATGTTTAATGATCGTGAACTTCTTATTCACAATGTGAGGTATGTTTCAGAACTCAAGCGAAATTTGTTATCTATAAGTATGTTTAATGATCTAGGCTATTGTACTAGAGTTGAACGTGGAGTGTTGAAGATTTTGCGTGATAAATTATTATTGCTAAAGGGTCTAAAATATATGGTCTATATATTTTAGAAGGTTCAAATGTTATTATTCATTCATCGTTAACTAGTGAAGGCTTTCATGACAAGGAAGAGCTATGTGATTTGAGTTTAAGGCGTTATGAATTCCTTGAGAAAGTTTCAGAGGAGTACAATGAATATTGCAAAAATCAAGGGATATAAATGCATGTTACCACTGAGTTGTTATTGAGTTTTTGGGAAAGAGTTGAAGTTAAAACAACTTACTTGGTTGGTAGCGAATTTCTTTAGAAGAAGAATAGTGAAAACCAAGGGAGAAACTATAACGGAGAAAACTCAGTTTGAGGTTTTGGTTTCCTACTATGGATGCTAGCAGCAGTGAGGCAATAGTTACAGAGATCTCTGATTATCATTTGACTCATGATAAGGTAAGGATGGTTATTGTAGCATCTCAAAGGGACAATTATGCTAGCCTCGGATATTATGTTTTTAATGTGGTTGAAGGACTGCAAAATAAAAGAAGAAAAACCTTCAGGGAGGCATTTGAAAACATGTGGAGTCAATGGTGGTTGAAAAATCATACTTGTAGGCTTGTTAAATTACCTAGGCAGAAAAGGGTAATTGGGAACAAGTGGATTCAAGTTGCGAGATCAAGATTCAAGGTTGCTTGAATTTGATCAAAGTTATTGAGTAAAGTTTCAACTTGGTAGAGAGCAACAATGTTGTTGATTGGTATCACCATAGTTTAAAGTCAAGGTGGAGATTGTTGTAAATGTGTCTTAAAACCTTTGTTGATGAAGAGAAAGAAAATAAATTTTGGAGATTGCATTTACCGCGAAAATCAGAAGTTTTAGAAAGTCGAGAAAAAATGGGGCAGTGAATAGTAATGTCCGTACGGGTGAATAGTAATATCTGTACGGATGAATAGTAATGCCCGTACGATGAATAGTGTTGTCCGTACAGTGAATAATGTTTTTTGCATTTTCGGGCTTTTTTTTTTCCGATTCGGTCCATGAATCCATGTGATTTTGCGCTTTGTTTGTTGGGTATTTGCTATTATAAATATGTATCTCTTATATGCTTGGTGTGTGACAATCTTAAAATTTTCACCAACAAGGGAGACCAAAGGTTTAAAGGTATAACATATGATTTCGGTTATGCACAAAGAAAACCTTGGATTACACCTTGGGTTTGAGTGATTCATATATTGGGAGTTGGAGAGGTAAGGAAACACATAGAGTTGTTCTTGGGTGCCTTCAGGATTGTTCTTGGGAACCTGAAAGCGAAGACTATTTTCTTGTAACTCATATGTATTCTCTTGTAACAACTTTTTGAGTATAGTGAATTGGAGAACTGCTATCTCCCCCAAAGTGGATCGTTTGATGAAACTGGATAAACAAACCTTCCGTTTTTTCTTGCCTTATTTTGTTATATTATATGTGTACGGATTATTATTATTAAAGATCATTTATTTTGATTGCTATTGTTTTTTGCCTTATAAATTAATATTGAGTTTTGTCATAATTCATAACAAAATTCATAAAAAAAAATCTTCAAAAATGTAAATTTTAGTTGAAGTTTATGTGGTCCATCTGAATTTCTATGTTTTTTTTTCTACTTTTGGTATATTGTTGTATACTTATATATTACTTTTGTTTCTTATAGCAAGTAGTGAGAAAATATCAAAATTAATCATGCAGAATATTTTTTGTTCCGTCTTTGGTGCATTGTATTTGCAATTTAATTATTGTTCTAATTACTTTTTTTATGACTCATGAATCTTATTTCACTTTCTTTTATGACATAACTTATTACAAAGAGTTATATTTTTTTTTACATATTATTAATAATTTGTGATGATTTTTAACTTTCAGAGTTATATTTTTTTTTACATATTATTAATGATTTGTGAGGATTTTTAACCAAAATAAAATTTCTGCAGTTTAAATAAGATTTTTAATATATATGTTGAGTCTTGAGTCTTGTTGTAGAATCATGTTAATAGAACTTAACTATTTTTAATAAAATTTAACGGAAACAACCAAATCATCTAATATAAGTATTTTTAAGAAATTAGAGTAATGTTTTTTTTTTTGTTAAGGAACTGAAGGAAAATATTATATTAAATTAAGAGATTTAGTAATTAATTGTAGTTAAAAGTATCACTCTAAAATATCAGTTGAAGACGCGAGAAGAGAAAACTTTATTAGGACATCATATCTTAATTTTATTAGTATCTTCGCATTGAGTCGCTTTTACTTTGAGAGAGGAGTCAGTGTTTAGTTTAAAAGTAGCTACAACAACTAAGTCAAACAAGTTAAATTTAAGATTTCAAAAAATAATCTACCTTTAAATTTTAAGATATTTTGTTTCTCAGGGCCTAAGTAACTGCAACCCTAACACAAGGCGTGTTACTTCTTACTGACCACTACTGAAGCTTGGTTCTAACAACCTTGATGTTGTCTCCAACTGATCTTGGTTCTAACACATCCTTAGTGTTGCACTCATCTAGTATTGAAGTGAAAAAGAATGTTGTTCTCCTATGTTCCGCTATCCAAATCTCCAGTGAAAATGGTGTTTAATATAAACATGGTAAAATTAAGATTTTTCATTTCATTGAGGCTTTTTTTTCTTTTCATTTCATTAAAAAAGATTGAGATTTGTGGTTGTAAAGTTTTAATTTGAGTTTGATGTTATTGAAACAACCATAGAACACATTAAGTATTACTGACTTATACATAGAGCATTGAAATTTTACCCTTTATTTATTCTGTTTCCGCAAAAGGTACATGACTCAAGTTTATTTTACACAAGTAGCAAAGGCATCTAAGCCTTAGTTTTCTTATTCATAACTTTCATTATTATTTTCATAGATTTTGTACAAGTCTAAGCCGAAGCTCTGTTCTGAGACTCACGCGGTGGAATTAGAAATTTGAAAGGATTGTTGGACTTGAGCTGCCTTGCCTCATTCCTCTGAAGGTTGAATGTCGCTGCAACCACATCCACCGGCATATCATTTATAACTGATGATGTCCCTGCAAGTCTTGCAATACCTGCTCTGTCATTTGTCTTGAATGCTACATATGTGAACCTGTCGCTCAATGATTTTGCAGCCACGGCATAGTTTTGTGGTACTGTCAATGCACGACCGGCTTCTAGCTCCCCATCAAACACGGTGTTTCCATTGCAGTTCACAACTTGTAGCGTTGCACGTCCCTTCAATGCGTATATCACGCTGTTTGCGTTGAGGTTGTAGTGAGGCACAAACATAGCATTCTGTATGAAGAGTGTTTGACATCAAGTTAAGTCATGGAAAACAAATTAAAAGTAATAAAAGAGAAAAAAGAAAGAAAGAGAAATGATAGTACTTTGTGGAGAGATCCGTGCTCAGCACTTAGTTTGAGCCACCTGAGAACTGGGAGGTCCAGGCTGTTAACAGTTTTGATTCTACGAGCTTGAGGGTTGTATATGTCTGGTGATGAAGATGAACCAATGTTCTGTCGAAGTTTAGCAGTGCAAATGGTTTCCTCAAGCCCATTGTCTCCATGCCTTCCGCTTTCACCTTTTTGGCTGTGGTGGCGGCGGCGCTCTTTCTCGTCTCCTTTTTCCTCCTCTTCTCTGCTCCTTTGATGACGCGGCTGCCTCTCTTCATCTTCATCTTCCTCTTCCTCTTGTCTGCTGCCTCTCTCTTCATCTTCATCTTCCTCTTCCTCTTGTCTGCTGCCTCTCTGGTGAGGTGGTTGTCTCTCAGGTGGGCTAATGATGCTGAGACCACCTTTCACTTTGACAATGGCTCCCTTCTCTTCGTCTTCGTTCCGGCCTTGAAGTCTGTCTACTATATGCTTGTTCACGTTGAAAGCATCTTCCAAGAAATCCCTCTTGAAGCCACTGAAAATGTTGTTGCCTTCATTTTCTTGTTCTTCCTTTCCTCCTTGTTGGTGCTGGTATCGTAGAAATTCTTGCTCGTGGTTCCCGGCAAGATAGAATCTCTGTCAAACATATATAGATTCTATGTTACTGTTTTCGACAACATATAATCATGTAATATGTATTATATGGGAAGTTTAATTATGCTCAGTGCTCACCCTTGGCATCTGATCAAGCTGGTTATTGGAGCTGCCAGTATCGGTAAGAGAGACGGCAATAACTGGAGTGTCCTGGTCATTGTACATCCAAAATACAACACCAGTAGGAACTGCAATGATATCACCCTCTCTGAATCGGTTAACCTTTTGGTGGCTGTCTCTGTACCTGCGTCCCTTTCCTTGTTCAGATTCTTGTGGCTCCTCAAAGGTCTCCGGACAACCAGGGAATACGATGCCAAAATATCCATTACCTGTAATTGATTTAGTAAAACACTAATATGTATGTAATGTAAGTAAAGACATTGAAAGAATATCAAAGTAACGAACCTTGTTGGATGTAAATTTCTTGAGGAGCGTTGGAATAGTAAGGTCTGCGAAGGGCATTGCGTTGAAGAGTAGCACGAGAGAGGGCCACACCTGCACATCGGAATTGCCTGTTGTTAGGATTCCAAGTCTCAATGCGTCCACCTTCTGACTCTATACGGTTATCAGGTTCGAGGGCATTGAGTTGTTCCAGCTGACACTCATTTTGTTGAGACTGTTCTCTGCGAGCAAAGCTGCTACTGAAAAATAGAAAACAAAGTGAAAGAGAGAGTACGAGAAGTTTAGTAGCCATAGTTGAATAGAATATATGTTTCTGATGAGGAGAACCTTAATTTGGCATTCATATTTATAGTAAAAAAGAGGAGAGTGTAGGAGGGACACGTCATAAATGGGTTGATGAACATTAGACACTCTTCATCTTGCATGGCTATGGAAGCCTTATGCATTACACCTCATAAAATCACAATGTCTCATTACCACAGAGGTGGCTTCAAGTGAACATGATCCATAGCATAACCAAACAAACTTATGAGAGCTGAGTAATTTGATAGCTAGCTGAAATCGGTGGTGCTGGGACCATGTATAGTATATAACTCATATATATACACATACTTTAATTTCATTTACGTGAGTTTGCTCATTACTGTCTTGTAATATTTAGATTTTTAAACCTATTAGTTTCTGTATTTTGGGTGTTGGATAGGATTGAGTTCATGGTCAGTAAACATTTTTCAGTTTAATGGAATTAGTCTGATTAGACTCGGTAAAGCACGATTTTGTGTAGTTGAAGTATTAATGAACGTTAATTTAAGTGATGTATGAATTACAACTTCTAATTAAAGTGCTTGAATTACAACATAGTCGTATATGTTATATAAAAGGTTTTTTATAAATTACCTTTGAAAGAAATATGGGTAATTTACCAATTTTGTGTGTGACCAATTAAAGTGATCCACGTATGTATTAATAATTATATCAAAGAATAATTTATTTTATAGATTATGCATATGTATTTTTGTTATTTGCATATTGGCTTTACCCTTAATTAATGTATTTTCATGTTTTTCATTAAATTTTTTTTTATAAGAAATGATATATTCAATAAGAGAGTTCATGGGAGACTTTAACCCGTATACAAGAGGCTCCCACGACAAATTTTACGAACTAACTTAAAAATTCAAGCTACAAAAAATCAATTGGAGCTTTGTACCATTCGTAATAAGAACATTTATTGAATGACGAAGACCAAAAATCTAACCACTACCACAACAAGTGTATCGATCTATAAACAATATCGGTAATATTACCAAAAGGATCATTGAAGATAATTTGGTTATGTGACCACCAAATAGACCAACATGTCGTAATCCAAATAAAACACGTTGTCACCTTCGATGTAACTTTAACCAACTTTGAAAACCACGATAGAAGATGATCACAAACATTATCACAATGAACTGACAATGTCAACCCAATCCGCAATCTTCTTCCATATCAATTTCGAATGAGGACAAGTAATGAATAAGTGATTTCTATCCTCCACGACATTAAAGCATAAAACACAAACAATTTCATGAACATTAGGGATTAATCCTCTGACCGCAAGATTGAATCTAGTAGGAATTCGATCAAGCACCAATCTCCAAGAAAAGGTTCTTGCCTTGAGAGGGATTTTCGTCTTCCAAATCAAATCTAACACTGTCTTGAGAGTAATCTCTAACTCTGAAGTCTCATCCAAGTTTTACAAAATCCGATAGCAAGAGCTTACAGTAAAGCTCTTAGAGACATCACATTTCCAAGCAAATTTATCAGCATTATTCGGATCCAGTTGCACTTCCACAAGAAGGACCATCAGCTCTTGAAACTCAACTTGTACACTGCCCAGTAAAGCATTGCTCTAAAAACCCAAATTCCACTCCCAAACATCATCCACCCAACTACCCATGCCAGCCACCGAAGCCCATTTCAAATCTGCAACCTCGTACAATTTCGGATAAACCAACCTCAACGACTTCTGATTAAGCCAACAAGCGTACCAAAAAGAGATATGGCAATCGTTACCAATTCTGTAAGAAAGTTGTTCTAGAAAGTTCCCAACCTCAAGTGACACCCCAAGTTTCAATAAATCCCACCACCATTGAGATTATCTTAAATTAACACCTGCTGCACTTTGCAGTAAGATACGATGATGGAGATTTCCATATCTCGCACACAACCCAAGATGCCGACAGATTCATAATACACCTCAAAATCAACTTGTAAAGAAATGCATTATTAAAGCACACAAGATCCTTAATCCCCAAGCCTCCTTTTCATTTAGGCATGCATAATTTCACCCAACTTATTCAAGCTATTTCGACTTATCACCATCACTGGACCATAGAAAATTCCTTTGTATAGAAATCAATTTAGATGCAACCAAAGACGGGACTTTAAAGATGGAAAAGAAGTGAATTGAAATATTAGTAAGAATTGAATTGAGAACAGTAAGTCTCCCTCCAAATGACAATAATCTACCCCCTCCAAGTTGATAGCTTAGCTCTAAAATTATTCACAACAGAATTCCAAAAATTCACACTCATGTGTCTACCACCAACAAGTATGCCAAGAAACATAAATGGTAACTTACCTTGGGTACAAGCCAAAAAATTCGCAAAAACCTCCACGAAGGAATCCTCCAAGCCGACACCAAAAAGATAAATTTTGTAGAAATTTATCTTCAATCCCGATATGAGTTTGAAGCCACGAAATATGCTTTTAATACCCCAAAGATCTGACCAATCTCCATCACTAATAAGGACAGTATCATCGGAGTATTGAACCATGGAAATAGGACCCGCATTATTAATATGAAAACCTTTAAACATCGCCTTTTGATTTGCAACCCTAACCAACAATGCCAAACCTTCGGCCACAAGAGCATACAAGAAAGAAGACAAGGGGTCATGTAACGCCCATTTTAATTATTCTTAGTTTCCGGTGTTATTTTATTCGTCGACGTGTTTTGTGTGGGAATTGATGAAGAAATAGAAGCATAGTATTAATATTAGATAATTGATAATGATAATAATTAATAATTAATATTAATGTTGATATTATTATTATTATTATTATTATTATTATTATTATTATTAATATTATGAGGTGTTAATATTATTTTTGGAATTAAAAAGATGATTATTGGGACTAAGGGCATGTTTGGAATATTGGGAAAAGAAGGAAGAGAAGAACACACTTAGAAGCACGGTTGTGAGAAGAGAATGACGATAAGGAGCAAGCTTGATCAGAAGAGGGTTTGGGCTATCAATTCGTGTGGATTCTTGAAGTTCTTCAGCATCAAAGCTGCATTTGAGGTAAGGGGGGGGGAATTGATCGGTTAATTTCGGTAGTGCATGAATATGTGGTAGAAAGGGGAATTCCCTAATCCCCATGATCGATGATGAATTGATGTTGTTTGCATGTTGTTGATTCTGTTATGATTGTGGTTATTGTGTTAGAATTCTGTTGCATGTGATGTAGGGTAATTGTTTGAGTGATTTGGGGCTTTCCGAATAATTGTAGAGTTTAAGCCGGAAGTTGGTTAATCGAGCCGAGTTGAGGATTTATTGGGTAGAATTGAGGTTAGACCTTGCATCTAGGTAGTGTAATGTTGTTTTGGCATTGTGGGAACTGATTTGGGTGGAATCGATGGAGTTCGGAGAGTGTTGCCGACTCTGAGCAATGGCTGTATTTTTCAGAAATCGCAGACACTCGCTAGCCCAACGCTAGGCGAGTGCATAGCGAGCCTTCGCTGGTAGCTCGCGTAGCGAGCAAATCCAGTGGTTGTTTTCTTGTGTTCGCTAGCTCATTCGCTAGGTGAATATGTAGTGAATGTTCGCTAGGTGCTCGCGTAGCGAGCAGGTGGCGAGCATAGCATAATTTGTTTCCTTGGAGTTGTGTGCAGCTGTTGATGCTGAGCATGGTCGGTCTGATGTACCGTGATGATTTATGGGTGCTGAGTCTATGTTGGGTGTTAGAGGGCTATGTGGTCGGCGTTTAACGCATTTGACGTGATTGGTGGATTATGTGGTATATATTTATATGTATGTGCTATATGATGAAGTGGATCAGTAGGATCGATACGTCATGTGTGCGTTGTGTTGATATGTTGTGATGAGTGAATCAGTAGGATCGATACGCCGTGTGTGCATTGTGTTGATATGTTGTGATGAGTGGATCAGTAGGATCGATACGCCGTGTATGCATTGTGTTGATATGTTATGATGAGTGGATCAGTATGATCGATACGCCTTGTGTGCGTTGTGTGTATATGTTGCGTGATGGATTGGATCGGTAGGATCAGATGCACCTTGTGTGCCAGATGTGTATGAGATGTGTGATATATGTATTTATGATACATGATGAGATGTGGTCAGGGGACGGTGTGCACTGTGTGTGCTTGTGTGATTGTTGTGGTGTGCGTGCATTGGGCTTATGCATGGCGTATTGTGTTGTGTGCTCCCTTAGTGGAGGGGTGATGGCCAGGTGTCCATCGATATTGTTGTCGTGCTCCCTTTGTGGAGGGTGATGGCCCAGTGACCATCGGAGATGTGGTCCCTGTGAGGAGGGTGATGGCCAAGTGTCCATCGATATTGTTGTTGTGCTCCATGTGTGGAGGGTTGATGGCCCAGTGCCCATCGGTGATGTGTGCTCCTTTGTGGAGGGTTGATGGACCGGTGCCCATCGTTTTTGTGAGTCGGTACCGCATATCATTGTGTTGAGTTGCATTGTTGTGTGTAGTGATTGTTGATGATGGGACAGTAGGTCCGAATGTGTTGTATATGAAATGATGTTTATGTGTTTCTGCCTTTATTTCATGTACATTTATACCGTTAATATTTGATCGTGAATTCTCACCCCTTTGCTGTTGTTGTGGTTTGTGCTTCTTCGAAAGTACAGACAATCCAGGTGTTTAGCTAGCTTGGATTGTGGCGAGTCGTAGGGATTGCTCCTATACGTAACACCGGGGTTTTTGGGTGTATTTATGTGTATTGATGATTTTGTGTGCCCCCGTGGCGTATCTTATTTTGTGGGATTGGAGGTGATGTTTGATGACATTGTGTATATTTTGGGCGGATGGCTGATTGTTGTATATGATGATGTTGAGGATGTATATATATATTATGTGTTATGACAGACTACTTCTTTTTCCGCTGCAAATTTTATTGAAAATCATTTTAAGGAATGTCTTGTGGAATTTTGTTGAAAAATGTGACATCCCGTTTGTGGGAGAAACTCTGATATTTGTTTATT